AAGAAATTATATCCAACCTGTTAAATATATATTCATTATATCATGAACTATTGGATAAAGAATGGAAATGCATATTATTTCGTAAAAAAACGTGTAAAATCGTGTTATGAATTTTCTTTTCTATCTCTTTCTCTCTCTTTTTTTATATTGATATTTATTTGTGACATGTATCTACATATCATTTTAGTTATATATAAAATTAAAAGAATTTAACCCTGTGGGTTTTGAAACATTAAATGTGATTTATTATAAATATTTTTACATGATCAGAAATTAATTTGTATGAACATAATATAATCCATATTTATAAGCGATTCTAAAATGAAGTTATAAGCACAACTAATTCTTGTTTAATGTTATTTTTATTTCTACTCGTTATAATAATAATAGGAGCAACACATTTTTTCCAATTATCCTTGCAAAAGCAACACTGATTTAGAGATATACCTAGATACATATTAGACATCTAAATATAAGAAAATATGGATATGAAAATATAAAGATTATAAAGAAAGAATATTTGTACATGTTCTCGATATATATTTCTTTTTAATCTTATTAATTTAAATATTTGCTTTTATTCCTTTATTTTCTTAAATTTGTTATCATTGTATTGTTTATTCCATTTCGCAATATGTGAAATTAGTATAATTTAAACATAAATTTTTAAAATTCAATGTATTATTGTTAAATCATAACATGATTTTGTCCCTTTTTTTCTAAAGGGCTGGTTAAATATTTCAAATATATAAAATTTTTTAAAAATTAAACATATTAGAAAAGGTTGTTTTATAAGCTTTATAAGCTTTTTGTATCAGATACATTTTAGAATAGTATGATATCACACGTATTTACATATGATATAGCAAGGAAAAAAAACAGTAACTGTACAGTTGTGTATTTGAAATAAACATATACACATGTTTCGAGACTGCTTCGGAGATCTCTTATCACATACATTTTTCTAACATAACAAGAGTGCCAGTAATTCTTGTATCATATTAAAGCACAACGCATAAGAAATTTCCATTTTCAATTTTCTTATTCATAAACACTTCACTTTTTAAACCTAAGTAAATCATGAATTTTCAAAGCAATTCATTAGAGGAAGGAAAAAATTCATAAAAATATATAAATATAATTGAATACTTAGGATAAATGCATTCATTATTATACTCCATATAACATTTGGTCAATATATATATATATATATATATATATATATAAATATTGAAACTTCATATATGTATACATATGACTTGTAAGTTACATTGTATTGTTGTAATAATATAAGTATCCCACCTAAGGTGAACAGTGTAATAATTTATGATTTTCATACACTCATTTATTATAGAATATCTAGAATATTGTAATAAATAATACATGCACGAATCACATACAAAACTCGATTGTTTGCATATATCTGAGATCTGCGTATGAAAATTTTCAATAAAAAAATCATGTAACTGCCATGACTAAAGATGTATTTTAATTTTGAGTGGGTGACGTATTTTAAGTTAAAATGGGAAATTATAAATACATAATACGTGACGCTTGACTTTATCAACATTTATGCACGGAAACGCATTAATGTGGATTTCGTTCGTTCGAATAAATATTATTCTGTCGATCGGCTCTTACATTGATCTTGGAGTGATTCATAAGGGGGAATAAAATGTTATTAAATGTTTCGTAAATAAGAAATACTGTTATTGTTATGGTATATTCGGTTCAATTTGCACTGTCGGATAGTGACTAGTATACTTACTGCATTATTATACGCTCAATATTGTGCGTAATACTGTAGCCAATGTGCGTATATTTATGCATCAGAAAACTCGTTCGATTTTCATTTCAAATATATTAGGCTATAATAGGATTTCGTGCTCATGTTAGACATAATGATACGAAATACTAATCGACCGAGTTTCGATGTCCCATTGTTTTCTCTTTATATGCCCATGAATCCGGGACTCAAGAAAATAAACTATTGAGCGATATAGATAAAGCGTTCGTTATATACTAAATATATTCAGACGCAATAAAACAGTTAGTCGACGCAAATTATTTCATAGGATTTAAATGACATACGTGATAACTATAAGATAGAATTATGCGTAAAATACTGCTTCGTGAATGAACTTAGTACTAATAACTAGTGTGTTTATCGGTCTTTAATAAAATATATACATAAGTAGAATGCACACTCATTAGAGAGAAAGAGGGAGAGTATGTTTCATTTCAGACTGATTTCGAGTTTGTTTCATCGATGAAAACAAACAATGAACAGAAGCTATCGGCTATGTTAATCGATTAGTAATAATATGGAAACAATTTACCGGGGACGTGGTATGTATATTATGCTAGTAAAGTGTGCTGAGATTCTCGCGTGAATTATCTCGGATACGCTATCAATAGTTTATTTTCTTAATTTATACTTACTCTTCGATAGACGACACAATAGATTTAGACATGCAGTAGCTTACAAAAGTATTTGAACACCGACTATAGAAATCTTCTATATTTATTGCACACACGTGTCACACTAAACATTTTGAATTTTCAGTAGCACTGTAACAATCATGTCATGATTATACGTGTATTGTGCATGAAACTTTGAGAATGTATGCAATTTTTAGATACGTTTCGAAATCTGCCAGTATATTCGTGGTTATCGAAGTCTCATTGCTATGAATGACATAGTTTAAAATGTTTCGTGTCACGTGTGCAATATATTCGTAAAAGATTTTTATGACGAATACTTTTACGAGCAACAATAAATGTGTTTTCGTACATTACATAATACTCATAAGCAATTAAATACACAAAAGGAGTGCAATACAAAAGTACAAAATTTGACGTTTCATTTGAATTTTATATATTTTACAACAAAAAGAAAAGGGTAAAAAAGGAAAGAAGAACGACGAAAGAAATACACGCGGATGGCTTTTTTGATATTCTAAATTTTTTTAAGATATATAAGACTTTCGAGAATCTTTTACTATCAGAATATCTTTACTGTATGTAAGACCATGTCCCTGATAACGTACTTACATATATAGCGTTGAACTTTTGAATAATATTGTCTAATAATAAAAAAAAAAGAGAGAAATGAAAGCGGTTTAGAACGATTTAACGTTATACAATTTTCTAACCACTTTAAACATTATCTTGAATTTTTGTATGATCGAATTTCTATATTCGAACGACGAATTCCATGTTCTTATGGATGAGTATTTAACGATAAATATATGAAGTAGCTCCAGTAGTGATCTGATTTTTCGCA